ATCTGCCTGCAATGGGCCGGCAAGCAGTAAGTTGAAAATTGAATGGAGAGGAAGAATACCACACGTAGCATGACGAAGTAACCCAAAGCATATATAAAATAATCAGAATAAATGCATGGGAAATTCATATCCCCGAATCCGAATTTACCAATCTACAATATCCTTGGCATGTCACATATAGGCTTAGTGCCTGGAGACTTCAGCGCTATTCAACCAGATGGGACTATAAGGACAGTAACAGAGCTTGGCAAGAAACCGAAGTCATGGTTAACAGAAGCTCTACATTTTTTTTGATTCCAGGTATGATTTTCGTGAAAGATATTTATTGATATAAGATTTCGGTTCCACATTTCGACAAATTCTGAAGTGGTGATCCGCACCGATCATTACATACTTTCTAAATGTCGTACAAACAGACTTCGAATTTAAGTTGTCGGTACGTTTAATGATACAATAAATAGATTAATTTGAAACTTTTCACAGGTGCTTAAAAAGCGATGGTCACCAAAATCTATGGCTCTATTTTATTAATTAATGTGGTTCGAGAAACGACGAAAATTTATTTATTTATTATTTAAATGCTGCCATTCACTCAGCAAATGTAATTCATTCAGTTAGAGTTTAATTATCATTTATGCTTTGTGAGGCAAGGCTTAGTGGTTTGCATAAATTCGAGTTCTAAAAATGTTTGACAATCGTATTTAAAAATGAATTTTAAATAATACGATTGTATTAATTATTTCAGTATTTAGATATAAAATGCAAAGAAACAAATTACGGTAGCACGATGTGTTTTTGTTGGTCGAGAATGTAGCCTGACCGTTCATTTTTCAAACCAATGAAAATATTCTTTAAGTGTAATATATTAGACCTGATTTGGTATAAGTCTAATAGTTGAAATGTATTTAAAATTAAATTTTTTCTGATTTTATTTTTTTTGACACCCAGTCCGTATGTAGATTTTCTTGATATTTGTTGTTTCATTAGATTACAGTATATTTAATCTTACTTGCTTAGCATAGATTTAGATAACAAAATGAAAATGAAATTATTGTTTTTAAAGAAGACAATTTAATGTTATTAATGACATCTAAATGATCTGCCATCATAAGTTAAATAATTTCTCAATTACTGCAGTTATTTGAGATTCCAGTGTATGAAACCAGCAAGAACTGGATAATACAAGGAAAAAAGATCTAGTGAGTAATCGAAAAATAAGCAATGAATAATTGAAAGTGACGGCAGAACGAGTAACTTGCTTGCAAATACGCATCCAGTTGTGCCAGCCGCTTTGACATAAATAAATAAATTGAAGATAATATGGTTTCAAACGAGTGTAAACTAATTTTATTTAAATTGCATCATTGATTTTATTCTTGTTAAACAGGGGGGAGCAACTAATCAATAAATATGAAGTAAGATTTCGTAAGTCTGACTACGATGTTCTAGTTTTTACAAATACTTATCTTATGATAATAAACAAAGTGAAAATATTTTCTAAAGTCATTGACACAACGCAACAATTGTCGTGGAAATGAAAATGTCAAAATCGCAGGGGTTAGTTAAGTACTTTGAAAGATACGAAAATTATCCAATTTGTGCTTTATTTTCTACCAAACTATTAAACAATAAATTCAATTAAAATCACTGGGTCTTGATACTTTTATCTGAAAACTTTCTCAATTTACATTTTGCGTCAAACTACTGGCTCGAAATATTCTGATTTATTTTAATAAATAGTTAATAGCCAATAAAATCATTATTTAGTGAAGTAAAGATGATATGAAAATACTAAATTTGTTGGTTCTAGAGTTAACCATTATTCGAGTGAATTGTTCATTTTCATCTTTTGAGTTTGTTTATCAACACATCGTTACAAATAGTTTTAATTTGAAATGTTTTAAATATCATTAAAAATTCATTTTCAATATCTTTTAAAGTAAAATTTGCAAGCAACTCACGTGTTGCTGTAGAAGTAGAAGCATATTCTATTTTAAAAGAAAAAAATTTTATTTGCATTGGATATGAAAAATTATTGTTTTGAAAAATGGTAACTTACTTTGGCATTCTAATATATCAATGGACGTGCCTAAAACGTTCAGATATTTTTTAGTTTAAAAAAATAATCATGGAATGTTTGATGTATTCAAAGGAGAAAATACCATTCTGCATCCAGTAGATAGAAACGCCTATTTTTGATCTTCCGACTTCAATTATAAAATGAGTGCTAAATTCTTTCTCTTCTCGTGAATACGAATAAGTGTAATCAAGTTGATCTTGTTCCGTGTTTACAGTGAGGTCCACTGTTGATTTAAGAAAAATGGAATTAAATTTATGATTAAATTATTGTAATTTATTTATTGTAATTCCATTTTGTTTACCACATGTTGTAGGGTTGTGATGCGTAATCAAAGACTTTCCGATCCAAAGACATTTCAATAAGCCCTCTCTTAACAATTGGATCTTGAATAAGTTAAATGTAAGTTAGTTAAAATCAAAAATTGCTATTAATTTTATATTAAGCATAATTGAACGCTAATCAAAACATAATCCTACATTGATGTTATCAATGCTACAATAATATTGATTTGTTATCTTATTTAAAAATAAAATCACATGTGATTTGGTATTCGATCCTTTCACAGAAAAGCTAAAATTAGCATGACGACCTCCGTTTTCAAATCTTGCAAACGGAAAAGACGTTGCCAACATTAATTCACCTAAATTAGATGGAAAATATGTTATAAAGCTTTTGATAAAGGGAGTTCTATTTATCATTTGGAACGGGCAATAACTTAAGAGCACTTCTAACCATGTTTAGCCTGCCTGAATTCACACTTAGGAGCAAAAGTCACAGCACACATGCACCCTCTTCCAGATACAACCAATGTCTTGATTTCCGGAGCGTTATTGATTGTAATATTTAAATATCCTATAAAAAGCAGATGATTAGTTGTTTCGAGTGTAAAGTAAAAATTTCTACCAGATTCGAAATTACAAGGTTCCCCAATTACTTTGCCATTCATTTTGCATAAATCATTTTCGATCGAAATTGGAATCTCATCTGCAGTGATATTCTGAAGGTAAAAACAAATTTAGAGCCTTTAGAATAAAACAATTTTTACTTTTAAATTTCCCACATAAAATAATAAAGGGTCTGTTTTGCCACTTGGCGTTGCGACGATTCGTGAACAAAGCACACCTGACTTTCTTTCACACTCTCCTACATAACGGGCCTTTATTTCCAACAAATTTAAAATGAAAATAAGAAAGATCATTTTCGATTTGGTGTTTGAATGTTTGTTTTAGTTTTATATGTACCAGTACTCTCCACACCATTTGTCACTACTATTTATGATGCAAAAAATAAATAAATTCTAAATTTTTCATTGGTGCCTAAAAAGAGAAGGTCACAAAAACCTATGGCGCAGTTTTATTACCTTATTGAAGTCCCAGAAATTATTGAAATTTGCTTAAATTCGCTTTCACATATAACCATTTAACCAACAGAGGTAATTCAATTCAGTTAGAGTTTAATAATAAATGATGCTCTGTGAGGTAATTTTGCTAAAATTAGGCAAGTCTTAGTGCTTAGAAAAATTTGAGTTGTGAAAATGCTTGACAATCGTATTTGAAAATTTAGTTTAAATAATTTGATTTAATGTTTTATTTCACTGTTTTTATTTAAAATATAAAAGAGTAAATTGCGGAGGCAGGATGTGATTTCGTTAGTTGAGAAAGTAGCATGACCTCGCCTTTTTTTCAAATTAATAAAAATATTCTGGAAGAATAATATTTAAAAACTGATATTTGGAATGTATTTAAATTTATATTCTTATTTTATTCGGAATCTAGTCCTTTATCAGAATTTCTTGATATAGCTGTGATTGAAAACGAGTAGAAACAGGTTTAATGCAGTTTTAAACAAAAACGTTTTAATGCTATTCTGATAATTTAGTGTAGGTTTTAATGCTATTTTAACACAATTAGTTTTATTTCCATAACACCTGTTAAAACAATTAAAATTAATGTTTTAACAAAAAATAAAAACAACTTGATTTACCAAAGAAATAAAGTTTAAAGTGTTTATCGAATTATTAAAATTTTGCAGATTGAGGAATTTGAGACTGTTTACTGCACAAATTCGGAGCCTAATTGTTTTTAGCATCAATAGCAAATTTTGTAGTTAGGTAAAACATAATTGCAGGTTGTTTATTGAAATCGGGTTGGCTGAGAGGCATCTGCACGCACAAATGAACTTCACTTCTAACGACGGATTCACATCAATATCATCTTTGCCAATATCGTATTCGTATTACTTTCATATATTCTATATTATGTGTTATAATGTAATCAAGGCAATTTAGAAATATTGCAAATAATTTTCAAAAAGGTCTTATTCTTTGTAAATATATATTGCGCTATTTGAACACTTTATTAGACTGACACCTGCAGATGTTTATGACCTTTGTCTCATCATCTATATGTACCACTTCTTACCATTTCTTTGGACTATCGATGTAAAAATAGAAATAAATAAATTGATTGTAACATATTGGAACATTTGTACGTACCACTGAACTTCATCTCTAACGCATTCAACACCGAGGCCGAATCTTAAAATCACATAGCAAATATCGCATTAGTATTAGTTACATATTTTCAATGTTATTTGTCGTAATGCAAACAAGACATTTTAAAATATTGCGAACAGATGTGATGAAATATCCCTAAAAAGTTTTTAATTCTTTAGAAAAAATAGATCCGCCAGCTGGTTCCAATTTATAGCACCTGTAGATGTTCATGATCTTTATTTCAACATCTACCTGGACCACTTCATACCATTTCTTTTAGTTCTGCTTTAATGCTTTGGAAAAAAGTTGGAATATTTGATTGATTTATTTATTTTCAAAATAATATGTGTTTGTTTGTTTATGGTTTGATAATAAGATAAAACAGAACTAAGTAGTTGAAAATTTAAGCTAGATCAAGCATTTAAATCAAAGCTCATGATTATCTGCAAGTGCTCCTATAAAGGAAAAATTTTATTGAGATATTCAATCCAACTTTGCTACCTATTTTTTTTGGTTGAAAAGCATCAATTATTGGCTGGTTAACAACCAGCAATTCAATTAACGTGCAATAAACATTTATGTGCCATTTAAAAAGATTGCCCCGAATGTGCAGAGGTGGTTTCAGTTGTGTTTGGGATGAAGTGCAGTGGTAGGACCAGAACTATTACAGCCAATGAACTATCAATCAGCTTTATGGAATCATCTACGATAGCCGTACGTGGTGCTTAAATAAGAAGAGCTGGAGCAACGTTCATTCAAGATGAATGTAAATCCTCATGAAACCAATTAGTGATTTAGATTGTGTAGGTGCGTAATGGATCTCACTGAGCAATATACATTTTATAATGAATTAAAACCACTTTTATTGCAACCCATGCATTGAAAAATATGTTATTAATGCGATATGATAGTTGATATGCAGACATGATGTTGAATGCGTTAGAGATGAAGTTCAGTAGTGAGTACAGTTCCCTATCGGTCAACCCGTATTCAGGAAACAACCTGCAATTGTGTTTTGCTTAACTACGAAATTTGCTAATGATGCGCCAGTGGGGCGGTAATTTGCAACTGAAGGTCACAATTATTCGATAAAATTTAAACAAGTATTTTTGAGAAATTCTGCATGTTTATTGCTAAAACATAAATTTAAATTACTGTAAAAAATGAATCTAAGATAACCCATTAATTTACAACAAGAAAATTTTCCCTAAAATTGACATTAACAACAAGTAAATCAGATTTAGTAGTAATCTATTTTATGAAACTAATTCCAAATGAATCTCTTTGATTCACGTCAGATATTTATTTATTTCAAATGGCAGGCTTTATGATATTTATCATTAGCCCTTAATCTTTGACTTCAGCTTGAACAGTTAGTTAATAGCAATTCATTAGCTGTCTTCTTGCTTCCCAGTAATTTTGGCTTACCGTCCTTGTCATAAGGGCTGAGCACCGAATCAGGTGGGCCTTCTCCATTTCTTCCTGTAGGTTACATAGAGGGCATGTGGGTTGAGTGTATATTCCCAATCCGTGAAGGTGTTTTGCCAAGCAATCGTGTCGGGTACGTAGTCTAAACTCAGTAACGGCTTCGATTCTTGGCCAGTCGAGTATGTCGGAGAGTGCCACTGTCCACTGTTCCTCCTTTGTTCGAGCTTTGAGTTCGTTGAACCTTGAGGTCTTGAATTCTCTCCTGATTAAGGTCTTCATTGTGTGGAAAGACATCGGCCGGTCCATGCATTGTAAAATCGTTGTCCCCTTCTTAGCAGGTATGTCAGCAATCTCATTGCCTTTAATGCCACAGTGACCAGGAATCCATTGTAGGACCACTGTTTTGTTTTTCTCTCTCAGCAGCTCATAGAGTTTTCTACATTCCTTTATCTCAGCTGTTTTGGGTGTCCCTCTGTTTCCAATGGAGTCTATTGCTGTCTGTGAGTCCAAAAGTATCACCGCTTTGGTGAATTTCGTATCCAGGCAACATAATTGGCAGAGTGCTATCCTAATGGCCTCTATTTCTCCTTCAAAATCGGATCTATTATGTCCCGCTGTTGCGTAGAAAGAGAAGAGTTCAGAATAGACACCTGCATCAACGTTTGCTTGGCTTTCTATATATGACCCATCAGTGAATACTTGGAGCCATTGATCTGCAGGATAGTTGACATCGATTGTCTCAAGGGCCAATGAGCGCATTTGCTCTGGAGGAGTGTTTGGTTTCCTGAAGAAGTCGAGCAGTTGGGTGCGACACACTGCATCAATGTCTGCTAATGGGTTCATGGGGAGAGAGAGCCTTTTTGGTTTATCATCGATTTGTAACGCTTTCTTCAGTTCTATGGCTTTCTGTATTAGACCAGATTGCGTTTTCAGATGTCTTGGTCTATTCTCATAGGTACTGAAGAACTTGTCCATATGAGTGCGCAGTAGTTTCTCATACAGGATCAAGGCCTTTTCTTTGATAAGGGAACATATTGTGATGCTTTCTGTAACTAGGAGCATTGCATCAATGAGTGTTGATTTTATCCCTCCAGTAATGAGTCGTAATGCTTGGTTGTGTGCCTTCTCGAGTGGTTTGAGAGTCACCTCTGTGACTGTAATGAGTGGCTCACAGCAATACAACATTATTGGCTGAATAAACATCTTGTAAGTGGTGTTGAGAGTTGAGCGCGCACAGCCCCATACGCTACCAGCAAGACGCTTCAGGATATTCAGTCTATTGGAGACGCGTTCTGCTATTTTAGCAATGTGACTTTTCCACGTTAGCTTAGTGTCAAACGTCATTCCGAGATAAGTGAACTCATTAGTTTTTTCTAGGGTAGTATCCTTGTACCTTAGATGCGGATTTATGCTGTGATGGGCCGAAGAAAATGTTTGGAATGCATTTTTGCGGTGTTAATTACCATTCCATTGTTGTCACACCAGTTTGCTGGTAGTTTAAGTGCACTATTAAGAGCACTTTCTGTCCTCTCCTGAGCGTTTTCCTTAGGGCCNCTTTCCTTGTCATGCTTTGGTTGCCGATGGAAATACTAGCAATGACTGGTTTGTGACCAGAACCAGGATCGTCAATTATTTTGCGGCGTGTATGCTCGCTGATGTCGATTGAAGCCAGGAGTAAGTCAGGAGTTGTTCTGGTTCCATTGTAGTGCAAATGTGTAGCCGGATCCTCATTGCTGTAAATAAGTTCCAGAGGGTTGCTGTTTAGCATGTCTTCAATTTCCTTTCCAGCTATGTTTGTATCCTTGTAGCCCCATCTGGTGGAGTAGGCGTTGAAGTCTCCTAGTACAATTTTGTTTATGTGTGAGATGTTCAGAAAGTCAAGGTTTGGACAATTCTGGGGTGGATTATAGACTGCATATATCTTGAATTGGTTTTGACATTTCCAAAAATTTAATCTGATTATTTCGCATATGTCTTGTGTCGAGCCCATACTCTTGATTAGGTCGTAGTGTGAGGTGAGGCCTTCTTTAACTCCAGTTAGAATTCCACTTGCAACTTGCCGGTATTTAGGTAGATTGTACAGGGTGTAACCTGGGAATTGGTAATACTTCAGTTTGTCATCCGAAATGTTTGCTTCCATAATTGTGAAAAT